CATAATTTAAGGACTAGTTCATTTTTTTCTTCCTTAATTTTAAATGTTATCTTTAACATAAAGTAAATGATTTGATATATGTCAGATCTATCTCTGAAGTATCATTTTCATTGATTTATTTGATTTGGGTTTTAAATATCAGATGTTTTAGATTGTTATAGTTCTTAATAGTGTGTCTTAATACGTGGTAGGCCAATCTTATGGGGAAAAAATAGTATCTTATTTGGGCTTCATTTTGCACTCCCAATTGCCACAAAGGTTGAACATCTTTTCATGTTTCTTGGCCAGTCGAGTTTTCTCTTTTAAAGATATTTAATTCATGCTCTTGACTCATTTATTGATGATATACATTGAAGCATTCCTTCTTCCAAGTCTTTCAACTTTATGATGCCATTCATAAGAATGAAGTTTTTAATTTAGATGCAGTTAAAATTTCTATCTTTCCCTTTATAGTTTTTAATTTTAATATTTTGCTAAGAAGTTTCCTTCCCCATATTTTCTTACTTGTCTTCAATGTGTAGGTCCTAACCCATCCAAAGGAGAGAGAGACACTGTAAACGGTGAGAGATTTCTTTGCCAACCCAGAGGGGATGGCAACATAGGACAAATGGAGGATGAAAACTTTAACTACTTGTGTCTCTTGTGAAGAGGGTGAATTAGAAAAGACAAAGTCCTTTTTTTTTTAAAGAAATATTTGTCTTTTTCATAGTTTTTTTTTTTTAAGATTTTATTTATTTATTTGACAGGCAGAGATCATAAGCAGGCAGAGAGGCAGGTGGGAGGGGAGCAGGCTTACTGAGTGGAGAGCCAGATGTGGGGTTCGATCCCAGGACCCTGGGATCATGACCTGAGCTGAAGGCAGAAGCTTTAACCCATTGAGCCACCCAGGCACCCAAGGACAAAAACCTTTTGAATCTCCAGCTGACATCTCCAGTTGACTGTGGGTTCTTTATGGATTGACATAAACAACTCACGTCTGACTGCTGGTCTCCTGGTAACTTCATCTGGATTCCTTTTGTGCACATGATGGTGAGAACTGTACTTTGTAGAGAACTGTAGGTCAGATTTGATAGAGATTGCCTGTGGGTAGAAGTGGTAGTGATGAGGGAGCAGGAGGCTGGCTGAGGACAAAGCAAAAGCTGGCACCTTGCACCCCCTCTCCACTCGCTCCCCTGGCACCTTGCACCCCCTCTCCACTCGCTCCCCTCGGTAATGTGTGTGACATTCCTCAGGCACCCCTGACTGCCATAATCGAGAAACAAATAGTTAACTTGCAGAAATCACAATCCTACAAGACAGGAGTCTCCCTTGGTTTACAAATGTCCTAGAGATCTACAGACAAAGAAGTTACCTTATCAATAGTACAATTTCCAGAAGCAAATAACTCAGTTCCTCAAGCCCTAAATAAAGTTAAATTTCTTCTAAACCTAAATCTCACTAACAAGGACATTTGATAGGAGAAATGTGAAACTTTATCTCTAGATCTCCAAGATAGTGTCGAGAATCATTCCCAAGCATATGGCCCACTGATACACATCTAAAGGGTCTGACAAGAAGATTTTTACTACTAGTAATAAATAACCTTTCTCCCAACAATAGCTAGCCCCTCAAGGTCCTGGAGACCTTGCTTCCAAAATTCCTTAGAGACTAACATCACCCCCTTTGTTCTCACCTACCCAACTCCTGTGTATATAATCAGCACTCCTCAGGATAACAGGGCAGCAGCTCTTCCTGCCCACGGGTCCTGTTCCCATGCTTTAATAAACCACCATTTTGCACTAAAGATGTCTCAAGAATTCTTTTTTGGTCATTGGCTCCGGACCTCAGCCCACCGAACCTCTCCTAGGTTTTAGAACTTCATCAGTAGTGGTGTAGAAAATGGTTGGGGTCTGGTGCTGATGACCAAGAAAGAATTCTTTTTTTTTTTTTTTTTTAAGATTGTGTTTATTTATTTGACAGAGAGAGAGAGAGAGAGAGATCACAAGTAGGCAGAGAGAGAGGCAGAGAGAGAGGAAGGGAAGCAGGCTCCCCGCTGAGCAGAGAGCCCGATGTGGGGCTCGATCCCAGGACTCTGGGATCATGACCTGAGCCGAAGGCAGAGGCTTTAACCTACTGAGCCACCCAGGTGCCCCAAGAAAGAATTCTTAAGACATGTTTGGTGCAAAATGCAGTTTTATTAAAGCATGGGGACAGGACCCTTGGGCAGAAAGAGCTGCAGTGGGGTCAAGAGGGTGGCTCATTATATACTTTCAAGCTGGGAGGTGGTCAGGGACAGCACAAGCCTCCAAGGACCCTGAAGGGGCTAGTTAGTTAGGAAAAGGTTGTTTATTACTATTTAGTAAAAACTCTGTCAGGAGACCCTTCAGCTGTACATCAGTGGGCCCTAAGTTTACAGGATGATTGTTAACCTGTATCTTGGGAGGCTGAGATAAAAAAGTTTCCAAAGGAATTTTTGTATGTTCAAGTAGACTCACAGAATCCTGGAGGTCGGGCTAAGATTACCTTTTGCTCTTAGTGAAGGATCAACATGGAGGCAGCTGAGTCCCTAGAGGAATGTCACTCTGCCTGTTTCAAGCACTTGTCCATGGGTTCTAAGTAGTGAGGAAATTTTATAATTTCTCTTCTGCCTTTGTTTCCCACATCAGTAGAGCATAGGAGGGAATGGCCCAAGGAGAGCAGAAATTAAGCCATGGTTTAATCCAAAGGATAAGAAGTGATGTTAATCAATAGAACCCTTGGCGGCTGAGTAGATATGAGGGCAACCAAAGGCGGGGGTTGGGGGGCCGGTCAGGGTTCCTGGAAGAAGGAACTCAATATTAACATGATCAGGGGAGCCTTGGTGAGGACTGACTCTGAGGATAATAGTGGAGTTGTCTTTGGAGTGTGTGTGACACCTTGTAGAGATGACCAGCAGGCAAGTGGAGGGAGGGATGCTAAGCCCGGAGACATTGCTTTAGTCATCCAGATGGAGGCCAAAATTGAATCGCAAAGGCTCTATAAACACAGGGAGAAGATCATATAGAAAAGTCTGTATCAAGGGGACAAGAAGTAAAAGAAAAGCTGAGAAAGCAGAGAACCATGAAGGTGGTGTGATGGGAAGAAATTAGGACTGAGAAAAACTGTTTAGGATTGTAACCCAAATACTGACAGGCATTGCAGTTTATCTGTGAAATGGACTGTCTCACCTATTCTGGAATTCATTCCATAAAACATAATACCCAACACACTCTTGTAAAAAAAAATGAGGAAAGAGAACATTCCCCTGTCAGTGTCTCAGTCGTTAAGCATCCACCTTCGACTCAGTTCATGATCTAGGGTCTGGGATTGAGCCCTAGGTTGGGCTCCCTGCTCAGTGGGAGGCCTGTTTCTCCCTCTCCCACTCCCCCTACTTGTGTTCCCTCTCTCGCTGTCTCTCTCTCTCTGTCAAATAAATAAATAAAATCTTTTTTAAAAGGTTATGGAAATACTCCACAACTGATCCATTCCACAGCATGGTCCTGAAGAGTGCCAGAACACTCCACTGTCGCTTGATTTCCAGTATTCCACTTACATGACTTCTGACATTTCTCTGTGCTGTTTCCTCTTCTTTCACATAAAGGGCAATAATCTACTACCTAGACTTGTTTTCATAATTAAACAAGCTAATCCTTTTTTTTTTTTAGGATTTTTTTTATTTATTTGACAAACAGAGATCACAAGTGGGGGGGGGGGGGGGGGGGGGGGGGGGGGGGGGAAGCAAGCTCCCTGCTGAGCAGAGAGCCCAATGCAGGGCTCGATCCCAGGACCGTGAGATCATGACCCAAGCCAAAGGCAGAGGCTTAACTCACTGAGCCACCCAGGCGCCCTTAACGAGCTAATCTTCTAAATACAGTACTTAGAACAATTTTTCCAGCATAGTAAGCACTCAGTAAATACTACCTATTTTTTTGTTGTTTGTGTTTTTGCTTTTTTTAATCAGCTATTGTTTCTACCTGCTTTTAAGGTCCAAGAGAAACAGCATTTTTTTCATGAAGCCTTATCAGAGCACACTTGGGTTTGCTATGCCTCCTGGCTCACATAGATGCTATAGTATTTAGCACAGGGCCTGACAGAAAGGTTCAGTAATTATAACCAAAACTCAGAAAATACTATAGGCCAGACACTTTTGTGAGTGCTGTTATTATAGGTATTGACTTGTTTAATCCACCAAAAGCGCTGAGGTAGGAACGGATAGGATATATCCCCATCTTACAGAGGGAGAAACTAAGGCCCCATATCAAGACTTAATACTTAAGCGAACTGCAGTTTCATTCTCCACTGCCCTCCACTCCCCTTATGTAACCTTTAACCAATCAAGGGAATTTCTTGGACAACACCGGGAGGTAATCCCTCTTACCTTTTAGCTGGGCGATACTCCCTAAAACAACGCAATCTTTGCTAATAAATTCCATTTCTTATACCCTCTCTCTGCCTTTATTAAAAAACAAAACACTTTCCCTTTCCGCAGCTCAGCAGAGCTCCTTTCTACTTGCTAAATGGTTGCTGCCCCATTCATGAATCCTTCTCTAAAGCCAATTCGATCTTTCAAATTAGTCGGTTTAATTTTTATTAACAGTGACTGGTGTACGCTTAGGCCCAAAATGCGTAGCAGAGCTAGGACTTAGACCCAGGTCGTCTGTCCCACAGCCCCTGCTCCTAAGTCCTGCGCAGTGCGGTTCCACACATCTTCATTAACGGAGAGGCAGAGCATCACTTCTCTCAGACTCGCGGTTATTGGAGGCGGAAGCATCATCTATTCCAACACCTTTCTGCTAAATGCAGGAAAGTGCCACTCATAGAGGAGGGATCTCCCAGCCCCGCCGGCCAGAGCCCAGCGAGCCCCGCTGCCGGGGTTCCCTAACCCGCAGGGGTCTTAGGGTCCCGGGAAGGAGGTGGGAGCAGGGAGCGAGGAGCGAGGAGGAGCGCCCGCCCGAGCCCCGCCCCGCCTGCCCCACCCCCGCGCCGCGGAGCGCCCAGTCTCGCGTTCTCGGGGATGTGCCGCAACAATGGGGACGGCGGCGGGCGGTAAGGCGTACTTCCAGAGAGGCAGTCTGTTCTGGTTCACCGTCATCACGCTCTCCTTCGGGTATTACACGGTAAGGGCAGCTCCGGCGGAGCGCAGGCCAAGAGCAGCGGGCGGTGTCCCCAGCGTGGGACCCGCGTCAGCCGGCCGAGGGGTCGCGCAGGCGCAATCCGGCTCTGCGCGCCCGGAGCCCAGGGGGAAAGGGGACCAGGCCCGGGAAGAAGACGCCCGCGCACTGGTCCGCGCCTTCCGCCTCTTGCCGCCGTCCCGCGAAACCAGTTGTTCAGGCTTTCTCGGTAAGGGAGTGGGGGCGGGCACTGCTACTCCCCATCCCAAGACTCAGTAGGTCTTTCAAGATGGTGGTGACGAGGTCCAAGGTCGGCAGGCCTGCTGCCGCCTACTTCCGTCCGGCGAGACGTTTGCCTTCGCTGGTCACCGTCCTGGCACTGGGCTATTTCGCGGTGAGGCGTGCGGCTGGGGCGGCGCATCTCTTTTGGCCCGCCGGACCCTCGTAGGTCGAGAGGCGCCCTAGTGGCGAGGTCTTGCGCTTGCGTCGGCGCCCCCGGCGGTTGCCTAGGTTACTAGCGTGAGCGGGAGGTCGGTGGGCTCGCGGGATGGTTTCTGCTCTATCGTCCTTTCCGTGGCGTCTTCGTCCCTCCGCGGTCACTACGACTCAACCGAGAGAGAGCGGAGTTCAGCGAGGGGGAAGTCACGCTGACAGGCTGCCGTGGGCCGGGTCGGGCAGGATAGGGCTTCCGAAGCAGAGTGCTCGAGGCAGTTGGGATTGTTTGGAAAACGCGGTTAGACCTAACGGAGGGATAGGGCGTTTGTCAGGGTCCTGGCGTAGATGTGGAATTAAGAAGACGGGATCTCTGCTGAGAGAAGAGGCGACTTTTGTCCGGCTGACAGAGTTCGTTTAAAGGATGATAGGGAAGACACCTGGAAAAGTAGGTTGGGAACTAAGTTGGGGAAGTGAGCTAAGTGAAGAGAGGCTCATCTGTTTAGATCTTGACCAGGAGATCCTGGACACTGGGGCTTAGAAATGTGTTGTCGTGTCCACAGTGGTGTTTGCTGTCAGATCTGCTCTCCTTGGCTCTGATTTCCTCACACGTAAAAGGGTGTTGAACTCAAGTGTTTCAAAGGTGCGTTTCTGTTCTACGATTCTGTGTTCCTGACTAGAAAATAGATGGAGGAAAGCTTTGGGGACTGCAAATTGGGATACCATGGAGCTGGCATTATTGGGACATTATGGAACTGGGTAGCATTCAATTTAGGATATTATGAGCTGGCACGTGCTGCCCATTCCATTCCTTTTGGTTTTGGAGGGTGCAGTGATATTTTATGCTTTCTTTAAATTTGAGATGCATAAGACATAATGGGAGGAGGAGTACAGCTCTTGGCTGAGATCTGAATGGGACAATACATTTTGGACCTGTTGGCACTTAATTCTCAGAAAAACCTCAGCTGGCAGAGATTACAATATAGAGACTAAGGGAAAGTTGCTCCGATGACAAAAACCTAATGTGATGAAGTATTTGCTATTAGCACTTCACAAGCTTGACGTTCTTATTTTCCAACTCTGTGAAGTGGATCATTCCCAATTTTATTTTTTATTTTATTTTTTTAAAAGATTATTTATTTATTTATTTGACAGAGTGATCACAAGTAGGCAGAGAGGCAGGCAGAGAGACAGGAGGAAGCAGGCTCCCTGCTGAGCAGAGAGCCCGACGTGGGCCTCCATCCCAGGACCCTGAGATCATGACCTGAGCCGAAGACAGAGGCCACTGAGCCACCCAGGCGCCCTCATTCCCAGTTTTAGATGTAGAAGTGAAAGAAGGAAAAAGGATTCGAAATTAAATTGGTGTTTGGCTCAAGCCATAGTTTCTGCAATGAAGAAACTATCCAGGGCACAGAAACCTAAAGTTTACAATATGTACAAAATAATATTTTGGGTGGAATTCACCAAGTATAGAAGTCATCCAGCCTGGGCACTGAGTCTAATAACCATATAGCTTCCTCCCCATAAATCTGCCCCTGGAATAGCTTTTAGAAAACAGCAGAAGTGGAGAATGGAAGCACAGATGACTTAGTTCAGAGATTTTCATCTCTAGTTTTTTCTTATAGAATCAGGATTATTTCATAGTCTCTCAAAAATAAACATTTGCCAATTTAAGTGACTTAATAGGTATTTTGTGTTTCTGGTTCTCTTGCAGTGGGTTGTTTTCTGGCCCCGGAGTATCCCTTATCAGAGCCTCGGGCCCGTGGGCCTCTTCACTCAATACTTGGTGGACCATCATCATACCTTCCTGCGCAATGGGTAAGAGGGCTCTGGAAATGGGATGTGCACCCTGCAGCTCAGTCCTGCTGTAGATCTAGAAGGCCTACACTTGCCTTAAGCTATGTGAGAGTGTTGCTGGTTCACAGTAAGGCACCTTTTTGAAGTTTCTGTGTTAGATTTCATCAGCAGATAACCATCACCTTAAACCAGGCTGACTTTGTTTCAGGTATTGGCTTGCCTGGCTGATTCACGTGGGAGAGTCCCTGTACGCCATGGTTTTGTGCAAGTAGGTGTTTTTAATAGCGCTTTATCGTTTTTCTCTTGGTATCTAATATAAGTTGAGAGTAGCCACATTTAAATAATTCATGCGTTTGTAGGCCGAGAGCATTCTCAGGGTAGAGTTGAATCTCCACACCTAATACTGAGCCTAGCCCCGAAGGAGTACTCAGTAACTATTTAATGAATGGATTCATTTTGTTTGTGTTAGTTAATTAGCTACTTAATTTAGATTATTTTTTTCTCATTAAAAACAAAATTCTCTGTATATTCTCCACCTATAACAAAAGATTTGGAGGTTGCCTTCTAGTTTGAAAAAGAGCCAGTGTATTGACATAGGCCAGTGATTCTCAATCCTAGTTTCACAACTGACTCACCTGAGTAGGTGAGTCCGTTTTTGAAATATACATGTCTGGTGTCCAGACCCAGAGATCCTGATTGGGGAGGCCTTGCCTCTGAAACGGGAATCTGTCATTTTTTCCCAGCTTCACAAATAACTCTGGGATGCACTGCAAGTTAGAAAAGCCTCCCAGCTCAACCCTGTTTGCAGGTGCCAATATAAGTTAATACTGTGTGAGGGTCCTAGGAAAGATTCTCTTGACATTAGTACTTCATGTAAGCCTGTGCAGACGGTCTAGTGACGTGAAGAGGTGGTTATAGTAATGCCGGTTACTTTGCAGTTAACTTCTGGTCAATATGAACTGTGACCTCTATTACAGTTGTATTGCTTCTAAAAGGGAGAGATAAGATACTTCAGAACAGGGCACCTGGCCTGGGTGGCTCAGTTGGTTGAGCGACTGCATTTGGCTCCGGTCACGATCCCAGAGTCCTGGGATCGAGTCCTGCATTGGGCTCCCAGCTCCATGGGGAGTCTGCTTCACCCTCTGACCTTCTCCCCTCTCATGCCCTCTCTCTCTCTCAAATAAATTTAAAAAAAAAAAGATACTTCAGAACAATCATGTTTTAATAATAAAAGTAATATTTTTTGAGTGCACACTATGCCAGACACTTGCTAAGTGCTTTTAAAAGATGATGTTACTCTATCTTCCCATTTATCTCCCTAGGAGAGGAGCAGAAAGCAGCTTTGCTCCCTCTCAGGCCTCTCCAGGTCCTCTCACCCTGTTGTCTGCCTCCCACCCTAGCCCGGTTACTAATATTGCCAGTCACTGTTGGATACCCTCCAGTCTAGTCCAGTCTATTTATTAAAAGCATAAACTAGTATGTAAGTCACAGTGCCTTTTCTCATCCAGCTGGGGCTCAGGAGCCTGCTGTGGGGAAGAGAGTATAGTTGGTGGCTTCTCTCTCAGGCCCCTTCTTTTTCCTATTTGCTAGCAACAGCACTTGTGGCCCCATGGGGTGGGAGCAGTTAGAGGAAACAGGGTCAGGCAGCTGGGAGCTATGGATGTTGCATACCTGGGGTGGCTTTTTTTTCTCCAGGGGTCCTGGTGGAGTTTTGAGAAGCCAGCCATCATTAGAGATCCCCCTTCTTTAGTTCCCTTGATGGTTCCTTCAGATGCTTCCTCCAGCCTGCCACGGGCTCTTTCCTCTCAGGATCTCTGATTGGGGGGAGTTTTTCCCTCCCTCCCTCCCTCCCTCTTTCCTTCCTTCCTTCCTCCCTCCCTCCCACCCTTCCTTCCTTCCTTCCTCCCTCCCTCCCATCCTTCCTTCCTTCCTTCCTTCCTTCGTCAGAGAGCAAGAGAGCACAAGCATGGGGAGCAGCAGAGGGAGAGGGGGAAGCAGGCTCCCTGCTGAGCAGGAAGCCCTCTTTTTCCTTGTCTGGACCAGTGAGTTTACCTCATTCATTTTCTTGGTGTGCAGTATTCTATGATGTGGATGTGCCTTAGTGCATTTCACAAATCCCCCCCCCCCCAATAGACTTTTAGGTCTCTCATTTTTATTATTATAGTACTGCAAGAACATGAATTTCTCATACTCATGGCCCTTCAGTTGTTGCTGATTAAAGGAAAAGCTTTCAACATTTTGCCTCGTGTTTTTTCTAGGCTCATGCAGACCACCTCTGTCAGAATAAGGAGGTTCCATCCTGTTTCTGAGTTTGCTGAGAACTTATATTCAGAATGGAAGCATTTTTCAAATGCTTCTGCATTTATCAGGATGATCCTATGATTTTTCTTCTTTAATCTGTTAGTATAGAAAATTGTATCATTTCTGCATGCATTGTTTTTAAATTTTGTTTTAGAAGTCATCCACATGAGACTTTATATACAGATGAGACTAGCAAGCCATTGACTGTAGTTGGGTCATTTTCTTTTGAGCTTTGTTTTAAGTGGTTTAGCTTGAATGACTGCAACAAGATGTTTATTATTATTATTATTACTACGTGCCAGCCTTTTACTAAGTACTTTGTGTATGTTATTTCATAAATCATCTCAAAACTTGCTGAGATAAATACTGACATTCCTATTTTTTTTTTTTTAAGATTTTTATTTATTTATTTGAAAGAGAGAGCACAAGGGGCGGGGAGGGGGAGAATCAGACTCCCATCTGAATGGGGAGCCTGATGAGGAACTTAGTCCCAGGACTCTGGGATCATGATCTGAGCTGAAGGCAGACGCTTAACTGACTGAGCCCTGATACTCGTGTGTTTCAGAGGAGGAAACAGATGCTGAGAGAGAATGAGTGACTTTCCCAGCGTCGCAGCCAGTTGTTGACACGCTAGAATTTACACTGGCTCTACCTTCAAAACACTTCCTCTAAAGCCATCCTGGTTCTGGAGCTTTTTAACCTTATCTGCTCTTCAGAATCTCATGAGAAATGGTTTAATAATATCGTGCCCTAGGCAGTAGCCACACTGCATCCGAGGGAAGCGTGTACCATCCTAAATGCACAAGAAAAATGAAAATAAACTGTGCGAGTTTAGAAGCTGGAGGAGAATGGCAAAATAAACCTAATGAAAGTACATAGAAGGAATACTTTTTTTTTTTTTTTAATGGAAGACAGTAACTCTTATGAAACCGCAGCATTAAAATTCTGGTGGCTAAGTTCTTTTTAAGTTCTTTTTTTTTTTTTTTTTTAGGTCTAAAGGCATCACAGATGGTCGGGCTCAACTACTCTGGTTCCTACAAACTTTCCTCTTTGGGATAGCATCTCTCTCCATCTTGATAGCTTACAGACCAAAACGCCAAAAACAGACTTAAAGAAGATACTCAGAAGCTTTCTTTACACTTTTGACGTTCAGCCTCAGTGTTTTGGGGTGAGGAGAGGGATGCTGAGTTACTCATCTTTCTACTTTTCCAGAAATTTAAGACCCTCTAGTTATTCATTATTCTTTCATATGCTCTGGTTGAGCTTGACTAAATGATAGGAAAGGATTTAAACTTCGCAGTTCTGTAGACTCACCTGTTTGGCCAAGGGCTTCCAGCTACCTTCTTGAGGTTCCTAGCCATGTTCGTGCTCCTTATGTCATCTGGTTTAAGCTTGTACTAAAACAGCTTCTTGGTATAACTTTGCTCCCACCTTCTGACCAAGACACCATACCCTTACTGCCCCATCTTAGCTCTCCTTTCTCCCAATTTTTTTCCACCTTTCTGAACCAAAACAGAGTGACATTTCCACAGCACATCAATTCCACACGCACTAGGCACCTGGGAAGCAGGATCTTATCCTCTCAAACTTCCATTTCTCACACACCAAGAAAGATAAGGAAGATAAGCAAGTGCATGGAATGGGCCAGGCCCAGCAGTAACCTGGAGGCACAGAGGACATGCTGGGTACCTAGAGGAGAGAATTGGAGATGCCTTCCCTGATCGAGCTAGCCAGAAGCCATCCTTCCCTCTGCGTGGCCCTGAGGACACAGTACTCTGTGGTGTGCAGGGGTCTGATAGCCACTGCTAGATGGCTCCTTCCGGTCAGGATCACATCTTAGCTTGATTTTTTTTTTTTCCGGCACCTGTCCCGTTGCCTTACACACAGGTGTTCTGTCAGTGTTTTCTGAACCACAGACCGAAAACTGTATTAACTTTCCATTTGTTCACTATCATTCCAGTTGTTCTATGAAAACTATAGAACCTACTCAGTGTATTCTCTTCTCAAAGAAAAGCACAGGACTGCCCTTGACTGGTGGTGCCCCCTTTCTCAAGGTCCCTGGTAGGAAACCTGTGTCTTTTTCACACTTGCCTATTCTTGGTCATTTTGTCCATACTCTGTAGCATCTCCCTCCAGCTCCAGCTTACTCAAACACAGATGTTCCTGAGCTAGAAATTCGAACTGGAAGCTAGTGACTACCTCTCCCATTCACCTGAGTAGACCTTTTTAACTACTGACTGGGCAGGGCAGGAGGGTCACTGACTCTGTTCCCTGATCTTGGCAGAATGACTCTGTCACCTAGGAGCCACTAGGGTTTGTTTCTTGGAGGACCACCTAGGCATTCCCTAGTTCTCTAGGGACTAGACTGTATTTTCCTTCTATGATGCAGTAGGGCACATTTTCTATTTTAAGCAAACATTTATGAGAGCCCTTTGCCGCCAAAAAGAGACCCCAAGTAAAAGTACAACCCTGAAACATTCTGGACTATGAATTGCTTTTGGGGGAGATGACTTTCTACAACTAAATTTCAGTTTTTCCTGTTTTTCTTGTCATGAAGGGATAGCCTTTTGGTAGAGAAAAAAAAAATTTTTTTAAAGATTTTAGTTATTTGGCAGAGCACAAGCAGGGGGAATGGGAGAGGGAGAAGCAGGCTCCCCGCTGAGCAGGGAGCCCAATACGGGGCTCAATCCCAGGACCCTGGGATCATGACCTGAGCCAAAGGCAGACGCTTAACCCACTGAGCCACCCAGGTGTGCCCCAAGAAGAAAATTTTTAACCATCGAGTTAAACATCATGGAAATCCGACAGAGTTTTTAAAAGCGTGGTCCTCTTGAAAAAGAAACAGTAATGACAGTAATATGAATGGTGACAGCAACACTATGGCAGATTATTGAGTGAAATGAATTAACTTGAATAAATGCTGTGAATTGTCTTCTCTATTCAGATGCTTTTTTTGTATGTCCATTTTGTTATACTGTCACTTGATTCTGCTTTTTTCCAAGTAGATTCTATTATGGAACTGTTTGTACAGTTCAAATATCAAGACTTTTTTCATTGATAAGGTTAGCATGCCCTCATTGTAGAGCACGTGACCCTCGTTATGCTTATAGAGCTGCCCTGAGCCCACTTCACTCCGCACACACTGTCTCATGGGTGGACATGAGTGTCTCCTTTCATTGCAGCATTTGTCCTCCTTTCGTTTTCATTTTTATTTGTTTAGCACCTGATGAAATCCATGCAGCAAATGAGAGAAGTACTTTTAGTTTTTAAATGCCAGAAGTATAAAATCCTATCATCTCATTTGGGGTATTATCATGACTTACAGCAAAAAAGAATCTTAATGAGCAAATGGTGAGGGTCGTTTTATAGGCCCATAAACTGCATCCCATCGAGGTGAAGTAAGCAGAGTCCAGACTCCGGCTGGGGCTTGTGTTTCTCTCATCCTCTGCAGCCCAGGAGCGTAGACGTTAAGTCTGTGAAGCAAAAAGTGAACAGAAATGGAGACATTGCCTTCGTACTGAAGCTGTAATGGGGATGTGGGAGAAACATCCTTGTTGAGTTCAAATGAGAAAAGGCTAGAGTCATCTCAGTGGAAGCAACTCAGGAAGGCAGACAAATTAAACTGTTTTCTTACCTCCTGCCCCTACCCCGAAGATGTCAGGAGCATGTATAGTTTGGAAGAACAAAAAAGAAAAGACCGATGGAAAAACCCATGACTAATGACCTCAGCACTTCAATGGCAATAGGCCAGCGTGCAGTGTTTCCTTGTAAACATCCCGCTTGTTCAGGACCCCATGCGAGTCACATCTAAACATGCTTTTTAAGCCAAGGTTTTAAAACAAGGCTTGGGCTTAAGAGGTCATATTCCAGATACATTAAGAGGTTCTTGAGCAAAACATCTTGTCATCTGAGAGCCCTACATATTTATGCCGAGGGTCTGAAAACACAAAAGAGAAGTTGGAGAACCTGCCTTTGATAGAAATGTGTGGTCACATTTTTTATCTCTGCCTGGGTCCTTTCTGGAGCCATGTTAATCAAAGCTCTTAGTTCAGCATAAATGTCAGTTATCTCGTTCCCTTTTTGGCACAGGCAAAAAGTTGCTAGTAGGGCAGCCGAGTAATAAATTTGCAAATGTAGGAGACCTCTCTACAAGGCGGAGTATCCACATCAAATTGGGAATGTTGGGCATTGAGAAACTATAATTATTTTACACTTCTCTATGACGAAGAATCTATCCTGATCCCACAGCAGATGCTTGAAGATCCTATCCAAAATACTGTATTTGAAATTTCTTCTTTCTTAAAAATAATTTTGTCAGAGTGAGAGAGCATAAGCAGGGGGAGCAGCAGGCAGAGGAAGAAGCAGGCTCCCCGCTGAGCAAGGAGCCCAGTGTGATACTCGATTCCAGGACCCTGAGATCATGACCTGAGCTGAAGGCAGATGTGTAACAGACTGAGCCATCCAAGTGCCCCCCCCCACCGTATTTGTAATTTCTATAAACATTTTAAGGTGGCTTCTAAACTTTCCTAATAGGATTGAGTATATTCATTGCCTCATTTTTGTTTGTTTGAAGGTGGATTAGGGAAAATGCGTTTGGCACCCTAATACTGTTCAGGGAAGTGTTCATGACAGTGTCAGGGGTGGGAGAGTCTGCATTATATGCAGGGAGGTTTCAGTCCTTGGATGCCCCATGAAAAGATTTACCTGGGTTTCCGTGCTCCAATAAAGACAACCAGTGGGATAGTAGCAAGCACAAAGCAGCTTATTACAGCAAAGTGTGCTCTCAAGGTGGGAGAGCAGGCGGGTTCCTTGAAGTTGTTTTGAAAATGGATATTACTGGGTCTATCTGGGCTGTAAAGAGCTGTGAAGTACAGTGGTGTGGTCTCTATAGGAGGCTGCTTCCAGTCTTTTGGGAAACTCCTCCCATAGTTTGGTGGGGAAGTTTTTGACCCTGCAAGCTTGGTTCCGGAATGGTCTGGGGAGGCTTTCTCCTGGGGGAGCAGGGCTGTACCCGCAATGCAAGTGCATTATAATGAGTCTAGGGGTTAACTTGGGGCAGAAATGGAAGAGGAAAACGCATGTTCTGCACCTGTGGCTCCTGATCTATCAAGCCCAAGGTCTTGGAAACCACAAGGTCAGGATATTGAGCTCCCAGGCTTACAATGTGTAGCATTTTTTTAATCACCGTCCCTGCCTTCAGCTCTAGTCTCTTATCATTCCCCTTCAAGGACTTGGGATTCAGCTTCAGAGATGTTCCTTCCACTGCTCAGATCTAGCTTTTCTCTAACTAAAGGACTTTTCACTTTTTCTTTGTACAAAGCTGTTGCACGAGATGTTCCTAGTAAACAGAAATTAGTTAATAAAAATTGCCACTAGAATTTGAAATCTTGACATTACTATAAATAAGGGTAATATCATCTATAATATAGAGAAGCATTCCCTAGGCCTCAAGCAACCCCACAGCACTAGTCATGTCTACATTGCACCATGAGACCCTCCCTAAGGAGAAAAAGAGAGGCTTAGTTAGCTTTTATATAAGGTTTCTATGCATATCAAAGGGACAGGAAAAGGACTCATAAATACAGATTACTCATAAATATACTGAAAGATACAAAAGTATAATATGTTATATATTTATTACATTATTATTATATATCCACAAATATACTTTTTTGAGGATATTCTAAGAAAAAAGAAGGCAACAGGGAAAATTCAATCTTATTTATTCTTTTAGCTACCCTTTATTTACCTTTTTATTTACCCTTACCCATAACACATCATTAATTTTGATATAGCCCTCCTGTGTGTAATTTTGCAAATGAAAGTAAATACATATTTAGGTGTCTCAGGTGTCAGTTCCGCCAATAGATGCCCACCTTGGAGTAGATTTTCCAGACAAAAACGGGCCAAGGCTCTTTCACAAACACCTGACATAGGATTTGGGGGGCCCATCCCCGGGAAAGTGGTATATCGAGCTAAGAACGAAATTTTGAAAAACTTTCCACTTTCTAACCCTCTAGAGTCCTCTAAAATCTCAATGAAATGAAACTGTTCCCCTGATATAACCTCAGAAACCCCAAGTTGGATTAATTTACTTTAACTTTCTTACTACTGGGAAATGAAATCATCCAAAAAAAGACAAGATCTGATAAAGAAAATGCTCCTTGGGGCACCTGGGTGGCTCAGTGGGTTAAAGCCTCTGCCTTTGGCTCAGGTCATGATCCCATTCTTGCAAAATGTCCGTTGTTTTGTGAGCAAGTATCTTTAATGTTAATGAATCCTATTGTGAAATATTAGAACTTAAAGACCCAATCATGTTGCAATATGTCAATTACCACTAAAATCTGGCTTCTTGAGAAGGACTTCAAGGACAGTGTGAGTTTGGTAACTTAATCTGATTTTCATTTACTATCTAACAATTTGCCAACAAGAGCTGAATTGCTCACATTCCACATTGCTCCCTTGGAGAGGGAAAAAAATCTGTCTCCAATGCAGTGTGAGAAGCAGCTGGAACCTATCTGTCTGTGAACAAGACAGGTAGCAACAGAAAAAGAAAGTCTGGGCTGGCGAACTAGCAGAGCTCAACTTGGATGCCTCCAAAAATCTACCTTAATTTTGCTCAATTTATAATGGCATTAAACAACACAGGATATGAGCTGAAATTACGCTTGTAGTCCACTCATAATAAGAATGCTGGAAGGGGGCGCCTGGGTGGCTCAGTGGGTTGGGCCGCTGCCTTCGGCTCAGGTCGTGATCTCAGGGTCCTGGGATCGAGTCCCGCATCGGGCTCTCTGCTCGGCAGGGAGCCTGCTTCCCTCTCTCTCTCTCTCTGCCTGCCTCTCTGTCTACTTGTGATCTCTCTCTGTCAAATAAATAAAAAAAATCAAAAAAAAAAAAAAAAAAAAAAAAAGAATGCTGGAAGGGACTGCCAAAATTTTCAGCGGGACACCCCACTCATCTTACATTAAGGAGAAACTGAGCTTGTGAGGCAAGGTGACCACCAATGTCGACCAGCCAATTTGAGGGCAGACCTATGTCCCTGAATCCTCCGTATTTCACCAAGCTGCCTGCCAGCAGTGTTGGATGAAAGGTCCAAAGTCTTGTTCTCAACAGCATGGCTCACTGCCCAAATATTTTACACATATTGTCCAAGAATGGTGCATAAAGAGTGAGAATTATTTCCATCCCTGTTAGCTGCCCTAAACCCCCACATCCTGCCCATGGGATGAGTGCCTGCCTCTGATACTGTCCCCATAGCAATGTATGAATACTGCGAACACTCTGCAGACCTAGGGGTTTTCTTGCCGTTGATGGAAGATGCAGCAATAATACGTTGCATATGTGGAAGGAATGGGGGCATTTATAGCATTGACCAAGCTTTCACATCTGCACTCTTGGCGGGCTTGCTGGGCTAATGCTCCGGGCATTACAGAACATTTCCTAGGAAACTGAAAATAAATATATTATGGAATTCAGTGTTCCGTGTGTCACTAGTGTTGTCCTGGTGGCCTGTCACGCCTGTTGCAAAACACACTGCTGGCTGCAGGCCTGAATTCCTTAAGGGGTCCCATG